ATATATATATATATATATATATATATATATATATATATATATATATATATATATATATATATATAAACACTGGCTTGTAGACCAGTATGGTGCCAACGCCACATCAATAATAGTAATAACAATAATAGGGAACAAGTGGATTGGAATAAAGAACAAAGTGGAAAGAACGTGAAACAGTTAAACACAGGAAAATGGTAGATAGCTGGGATAACATTTAGTATACGCAGATACAATTTTCAGGAAGGGAGAAGCGGCCAATCAAAGAGCTGCCATTTAACACACGATGGGGAAAGTTAGGCAGTGGTGGTGGGATTTGAACACACATTCCGGGGCTGATAGTATGGTGACTTTATCACCGAGCCACCACCACCCGGATTCTGCTCCTTTTCACTTTCATTGACGACTGTCGTATACGGGGCAAAGACTCAGGTGTTCTGCGTTCTTGCTCACGGTTTCCAATCAGGTATTCAGTTTTCCATCGCATTAACGGTGCAGAGGTAGCTTTGGTCAGTTCCTGGTCTAATTTGCACAGGCTTTCCAATCCATGGTAATCGCCGCTATTGTATAAGCGTTCATCGGTTTCTGGCCACCCCGTCTGACTCCCAGATTGATTCTCGGGCACCAGTGATCAAAACCAACTAATCGTCGCGAGTCTTCGACCCTCACCTCAATTCATAGAATCCTCGTATCCCCGTGCTGGTTCTTTTCTATTGATAGTGTGTCGACTAATATAATTGTGAGTATCAGTGCACCTACTATTCATCTGTTCAAAGTATTTGGTATCAGTTACATTGTTGCAAGCGCCGTTGCTTTCTCTCTCTTTCTCAGGTCTCAGGGTCTGCGTATTGCTCCACCGGAGGCGCCAGTCACCGGCTACATGTTCGGCAAAGGAATCTACTTTGCCGACATGGTTAGCAAATCAGCCAATTACTGTTGCACAACACCAGGACAACCAGAGGGACTACTGTTACTATGTGAGGTGATCTTGGGCAATATGCACGAATGTACAATGGCGAACAGTAGTCCGTTACCGGAGGGCATGCATAGTCGAAAAGGTGAGTGCTTAGGTTCCGCGTTTTTTCTGTGTATTTGATAACCAACTGGTAGTATTGTGGGGGTTCGGTATAATCGCTTGCGAACCACAGGTGCTTTTCCAACCTGGACAATCTTTTGATGTTGATGTAAAAATAGGCTTTCGTGTTCCGGATTGCCCGGTAAACAGAATCGGGTATTCTGTATCTTTCCCATGACATTGCTTTGATCTGCCTATGTACATCATCAATATAGATGGGTGACCAAAAGGCACCAACTAACATCATCGCACAAAAATGCGAACTGCTGCGAAACGAAGATCGAAAACTGAACGTGAATGATCGCTGTTAAACTCCTGGTGTCTATAAAGCAATTACTTGGGTTTAGCCTGGAGCAGCGAAGCATGGGTGTCCTGAGTGTCTTACATACGTGTACGACACACTTATCTAGTCGGTCAGACCACAGGCAAACCGGTATTGAAATTCCAGAATAACCACATTATAACCTGGGAACACAAATCTAAAGGCGAACGACTGTGTTCGAATGATTCATCATTGTGCCTGTATAAATTGTATACGGGTTTGTTGTTAGTGGGGCCACATTATCACGCTGGGTTCATTCAGAATGGGATGAGTCCCGTGTGGTGGTGATGATAATGATCAATTTGGGTTCAGGGGAAGTGAACAGCTTGAACCAGTCGCTTTTTTCGCATAGTGCGTAAAGGCTAGTACCAGTCGCCTCAACGGTGGCCAGCGTGTGTAAGCGCACTGTCTTAGAGGGGTTGGGTGGCACACGATAAATTACGCTGGACGCGGATTCTGGTCTCGTTTGATGGCCTGTATCCACCAGATGACCAGTCTAGTCCATTTGCTCTCATATTCTTCATTGCTTTAGCCTATCCCGGTTAAAGAATGGTCGAAGTCCGTTGTCGGTGCCGGGAAGACATTGGCACTGAACACATGGCGGGCTTTCATTCAATAGACCATATTAACGTTAAATTAATCTTTACAAGGGAACAATAGTGAAGGTGGGAAATGTCGATCGTAGATTCCTGGAGCACTATCCCCTTTCAACGATCACTTTTTGGCTGAGTTTCTTTCAAGGAAGAACGTTTCGAAGGGATCGAGGATCTATATATTAATTAAGCGCACATCAAAGCACAGATTATAAGACAGTGGACAAATCGGAATTACTCGTCGAGCACTGTCTCTTTGGTACATATTCAAATCTCAACCAGGTTCGAGTCGCTTCCAACCGGGATATGAGGGTTGTCGTCATGAGCGACAGCTTCTTTGAACTATCTGCGTGTGTGGCTTACCTCTTTGTGGGCTGTGATAGTATGCTAAAACGTGTGGCAGTAACCGGTGTACAAAATGGAGGAATACCTGTCGGCGCTTCTTGATCTCTTGGGTTTGAACGTCGTGGTGTCTTCGAGTCCAATAGTGTCCCCGTTTTGTCTCCTCAGCCATACATTAGAGTTGTGTCAATCGAATATCACCCGTGTTACTATCTTTGTCGCCTTAAGGTTTGGTACTAAATACTTCACCCCGCACGAGCCACTTAAACAATCAGCTTTTCACACCCACATTCAAATGGTTTAGCAGCAGATGAATCTTTTTTTTTAATATCCTTTTTCTTTGCTACTAAATTGGATGGAGCGGCGGTGTACATGTTATTGTCAGCTCCCGTTTCTCTCAACTACTCTATACACAGCGCACGCTAAAGATGTTTTTCTCTCCCTATGTATATATGCCATAAGTATGGGAGTTCGTCCGAACTGTTGTGTTGCTCTGTGTCAGCGAATTCGCATGGAATAAAAAAAATCGAATTAATTCCCTATCCGCATTGATCATGCTGCTCGGCGATAACCGTTTCCGTACCCCATCCGAGTTCCAGTTCCAACAAGGACACATCAACCAACTATCCACTGCACTTTGTTGATGCTCAGACAGTATTCTTAATAATTATCTTTGTTTCCATTGTACCATTTCGAATCAGATACCTATGGGAAATTAACCTACATAGATGATTTGATTGTCTTTCCCATTCGTCTGGGTTCGGGCCGTTCAAAAAAAAATAATATCAGAATTTTTATGAATGCATGCTTAATTTGTGAACCGGGTTGCCCACATTTAGGATTCACAATCGGAGCATCCTCTCAGCACCCTCGAGACAGCTACTGCCGAGGTTGGTTTAGTGTCCTTTTCCGGTCCCGATGTGCTAGTTTCATGTTTGCCTGTTTGGAGCCACGTCCTTTTAGACTTGTCTGTTAGGGAGCGGTGTGCCTGAGAAGTATGTAAACCTGAAAGCCGTCTACTCAAACATATCGGGCCTCGTCGAGGTCTACGATTTCATCTCCCCTTCATTTACCATCGTCCGTCAAAGATGCCCGGCTTTGCCCTTCCTCTTTAAGTTCGCAATAGACAAAATCCTAAGTAGCGCTCTGGAAAACGGCAGAGCTTCGGGTGTGGAGCTCCTCCCAGGTGTTCGATTCCGTGACTTGGAACCGTTTTACTCTGCGACTCCTCCCAGGACGCTCAAAACGTCCTGTGTACGTTAGCATTGTCCGTCACGCAGTTTGGTATGACATTTTCTCCGTCAAAATGTAAGGTATTACTACAAGACTAGCAAGAGGACACACGTGTCCTCACGTTTATGAACGACCAGTTAAAAATCGTCGAGCATTTTGCTTAGCTCGGGAGTTGTTTCAGCTCAAGAGGACTGACGGAGGAAATACCAGCGGGTATTCGCAAGGCTCGAGTGGCTTTCGTTAACGTACGTCACTTGTGGCACCGACGCGATCTCAGTCTCTCCTTGAAAGGCCGCGTTTACAATACGCTCCTACTCTACGGCTGTGAGAGTTGGTCCCTCCGCGCAGAAGATGTACGGAGATTAAGTGTTTTTGACCACCGTTGCCTTCATTGCATCGCCAGAATACGTTGGCAACAGCGAATCACCAACGACGAGATTCGCCGAAGAATCTTCACCGCAGACAATCTCAGTCGTCCTCTGAGTGCCACCATCTCACTCCAGAGACTTCGATGGCTAGGGCATGTGTTGCGGATCCCGGCTTGACGATTACCCTATCGTGTTATGTTTGCGCAAGCAGACACTGACTGGAGGCGGCGACACGGTGGACGGCGAATAACCTGGGATCGAACAATGAAGGCGCTAACCTCAAAACTGGCAGTGGTAGGACGCTCTAGGCTCCCAGGTTAGGGTCCCAAGGACGGAGAACATCTATGGTTTGAGACAGACATGGCTGGTAACTGGCGTCAATGGCGCACCTGTTGCGAGACTCTTATTCGTTGATTAACATTTAAACCGTTTTCACATCTTTCTTCATATGTTGTGGCACATCTACCAATTCTGCGTAATCGACTACGTGTTAAATATGTATAACTTTTAGACTGAATTGGAAAACACGGACTATTTTGTTTTCCCTCTCCATTTTAAATCTCATCCACCTAGCCCGTTCACTTTTCGTGTTTATTGCTGAAACGTTTCTGTAGTTCGCTTTTGTGAGTTCACTGCTGCTCTTGTTGCATGACTTCATTTCGCCCGCTTTCGTTTCTGTCTCCCTCGTGGTCTGTCACAGGTATCGGTTCTACGCACCCGGATCCGTCAACCTATTATACCAGTCCGGATGGAGTAATCTATCCGATTGGGAAACCCGAACCGTCCGGAGTGGCGGGAACCTCGTTGCTCTACAATGAGTATATTGTGTACGACGTAGCCCAGGTGAAACAGAAATACCTGGTCCGAGTGAAATTTGTCTACAACTGAGAATTCATGCCTATCTTGTCCATAGTCACTAAAGTGCCCTATTCCGGTGTTTATGCATTAAACCACACATGCACACTTTCGCAGATTATTTGTGTGTGTGAACATTTCACCCGTACCCGTTTCTATCATTATTTTGTCTATCTACCTCGGTGTCGTGTTTTAGCGTATTGCTGTCACCATTTTATCACGCCTACTTCGACGCACTTGAGTTTAAATACAGAGCTGAATATAAGAACAAACAAATCTATTCTATTTATCTGTTCTTTCTTTCTTTCTCTTTCTCTCTCTGGTCGTTCTGCTCGTATCACGGACGAGGTAAATGCGCCTCGACTATTGATGGAACAAACGTGTACTTATTTCTAAACTCGGCGTTCGTTAGCATTAGTTGTCGTGCGCTGCTGGAATAGCAATAGAGAAGCCCGGGTGTACCCGGACATTGTGTACAGAAAAGTATTATTCAGGGGTCAAATGAGTTCCCGACGAGTATGGTTTCCGGTTTGGCCTATATCTTAGATTTTGGATTTTGAATGCAGTTGTACTTGCTGGTTAATAGTTGGATTGTAACCTAGGTGCATGATGGTATTTGTGCAAAACCTAAGCGACACGATTACCTTCACCGAAATAAGGGTGCTTTCGGTAATGTTGAAAGCAATCATCGGTCTAATCATGATTTGTTCGAATCGTTATCCCCCATTTAGTACAATGCAACTTTACATCACTCGATTTTGTCATAGTACTATTTCTCTAATAATGTGCATACTTTTTCTGCTGGCGTGATGTTATTTGTCTTCTATCCGTGATACAATATCCGATTATCTAGTGAACCTAACTTTTTGCCAG